TGACAAATAAGATCCCATGTGCATCTGTCATTTATGCTCAGTAATGAGAATTATATATAATGGGATAAATCGAGAATGAGAATTCTATATATAATTCTTTATAAGGGGATAAAGAGAGAATATAGGTTTGATACCTATAATCAAATCCGAAATATTCTTAATTATATTAAAGAATTACCAATACCCAGGGGAAAACATTATTTTGAAGTACTAAATAATTGTAAAGATAACAAGCTAATCATTCTAAGAGCCCCACAATACAGTTCAATTGTGTGAACAGTTTTATGTATGTATCAAGGAAAATTGTAAGATTTTTCCCAACCAAAATAAATAGTTCGGCAGTGATACATATATGTGAACGAAAAATAACAAGCCTAAACCGGAGTCAAGATTTGTCTACTGCAAAGTTGAGACACAAGAAGCAAAATTATGGAGAACAATTTAAACAAAAAAAAAAATATTTCTCGGTGATTGCAAAAAGGTTCTATACTAAGGAGGCCACCTAATCATGTGAAGCAAAAGCAGCTTCTTTTAGACAAGACCTAATGATCTTCCCTAACTTGGAACAAGCATCCAGGCATAACTGCATTGCCTGCATACATGAAAAATAAGCTTCAGACAACTAACGAATCAAATTATTTAATGCTCAATACAAATGAATAAAGCTTGTTTGAACTTGGTTCACTAACATAGAGTGAAGCACGGAAATATTTTTCTCGTTTCATAAAATGTAAACTTAGGCTTCTTTTCATCTCAATCACGAAAAAGTAGTAACGTATTGGTAAAAAATACAACTGAGATACAAGAGTCCGAATTGATTATAGAACGTCCAAACTCAATTTAACTAATAATCAAATCAAATTCAAACCAAACTGTAGAAGCCCAACGTAAACTCAAATATCTGTGAGCTGCTCAATATTATTCCATTCCTTTAACTCCTGTCAGCTGACCCATTGCAAATATTTGAAGAATTTCTCAATTCAGAATTCCTACAATCTCTCTCTAAGTTTTCTTCTTTATTTGGTGCAAGAGTTTTTTATTTATCACCCATTTAAGAGAAGTATGATATGACACTTTCCATTCAACATCAATAGAATAACACAAGGGTAAGAATCAACAATTAAGTACACCAGTAGGTTTAGGTAAAATGCTTATCCCGAGTGCTGATTTATGTATATATAGCAACTGCAAAAGAATAAAAACATGTTTTACATGAGCGCAAGACAACTTTGCATACCTCATTTATCTTTGGCGTTGACCACTCTCCTGTGACATTCATCTGTGTGACCTCATTACGTGATGGCATGCAAGTTATCATCAGACTCCCATCCTGGTAACTTTCTTCTTCCGAAACAGGGTCGATTAGAATATTATGCGAGAGACATGACTGCATGAATAGAAAAAAGAGATAAGAGTAATGTGATACATGTGATAACTGCTTCGAATTGTCCCGTGCAAGTTTTGAACAGGCAATCTAGTCACACAAAAAAAACATTTCTTATCATAACTCAAAGAAAGTGCACTGAATATATTCTCCACCAGGAAATGTAAAAAAGAGGAAGTAGTGGTTATAGAAACTGGATTCACTTAAAAAAAAAAAAAAAGAACGAACATGTGTAGCAGCCGTTTAACATAAAAAAGTATGCTCATTGAATTTTAAAAATTGTCCAGGCCAAAAAGAGTGCTTTCTTCTAGAAATTCTCTGGTTGAAATTGACTCATCCAGTGAACAAATTCCATGTTTGAAAAGATGCTGTAACATCACTCAAAATAATTAAGATGCCATATTCTTATTTTTAATGGTGCAACTATAATCAGCCAATGGCGGAGTTAGGTGGTAGCACCCTGGCTCATGCCCCATTCCCATCTCCATCCAAGCAATGTAAAAATATCAAAAGTACTAGTTTATCTATACGATTGTCGTTTAAAAGAGCTCCTCCAACCCTTTACGTCTGTCTAACCGTTTCAAGAATGAAAAATCCGAATAAAAAGAAAATAAAATTGGGTTCATATATTTTTTCTTAAACAAAAGAAAAAAAGAAATTACTCCACCGCTACCTTTCAGCATAGCTAAGCAATCACCACTGTGTTAGGCAAAACAGTGAAAAGTTGGAAAGAGGTTGAGATGTCAATGTGAGTTGCACTAACATTTTTCCGTTCAAAAGTCTTATTCTAAAAGCTTGCTTTTCCAAAATCTACTTTAAAGGAATCAATTCCTCAAAATTTTATATTCCACAAAATTCATAATACTTATGGTTCATTCACCTCATAAAATATTCAAGCAGCAACATAGTAGACACAGGTTACCACTTACATTTTATTGGGAAGGAGGTTAGACAATTTTAAGATCCATTTTTTTCCTCAATTAACCAATAGGAAAATAAATTCTATAATCAGAACCTACAGAGCAATATCGACTATACTTTTGAATCTTTACGAATCTATTTCAATGATTGAAGTTCGCTACCCAAAATTCAAGTATAAATCGGTAGAGGTGTGTGATAGTGATACTGATACTGATACTGATACTGATACAATATGCTACAGCTACCAATAGGAAGTTAAAAAACTACGAGCAGAAAAAACATTTGTAACTTTCAGGGACCTTGTGCATAAATAGAAGTAAGTTTGCTGGGAGACTGGCTTTAGTTAACAATGATAATAAATTATCTTGAGCCACATGAAAGTCTAACTAAAGGAAAAGGCATAAATATAGGATTAATACCACTGACACAGAGGTAATAATGTCATATAACATGATCCCAGCATCTGCTAGAGCAAGACTGGCACATGTCGTGATCACTGGGAGATCGCCTACAAAAAATAATTCAGGCCTCTTAGGAACACAACACTCATTAGAGAATTATTGATATTCAGCTAGACATTGGCCATAGTAATATTTAATCTTCAAAAACTTTATTTTTCCTTTTTATTTTGGGAGGGGTTGGTGCATACAGTAAGTTGTTCTGCTCAAAAGAGAAACAATCAGATCATAACAAGAATCATGTAACAGGGTGGTTGTCGACATTTGCTATTTATATCAACTACCCAGTTCACAGGTTTGATCCACAAAAATTTTAAAAATAAAAGATATTATTTCAAATACATTACTATCAATTGAATAAACGAGCAGTGTCTCAAACAGAACCCCAAGTCATACTTACTTCCTCCGGATTCCAATACCAAAGCAAATACATCAACAGTCGTCTTAGGAAAAGATTTCAGTATAATGGCACCTTCCAGCGCCTTGTGGAGCATCGAGGAAAGGTCCTTAGTTTCAGGAGCCTGAAAAGACCCAGTATATAAAACTCATACACACACTACAATTGTAGTGTCACACAGGAAAAGATAAAAGTGAAAAACAGAATCAACTAGAGAATAAGATTAACCTGCCCCCGAACTGGAGTGGAAAAAGCTGTATAACTAACATTACAATTTAACCGCCCTGTGTCACTATACATCATTGCTTTCTTACTTTCCCTAGGACCAAATCTGAGTAACAAATCAATTGTGTAAATCAGCATAAATATATCACGGCAGATAAAATGTAGAAGAATTATCTAAAAAATCTAACACTTAATTTTGATCTGTTACAGCACTTGAGCCCATACTAATTCCAAATGTCTCAATGGGTAATTGACACCATACCTCCCATATTTGACCAATTTTCCCACATTTCGCACATAATTTCAGAGCATGTCACAAGAAATATTTACTAGATCCCTTTAAGGCAACTTAATTAAACTAAGGAGATAATAAGGACAATAAATGATATACTGCTTCTATTCTAGTGAAAAAGACAAAATGTCATGTCAGTAGCAAAATGAAGGAAGCAGCCCAAAGAAGCCAGCCAAGCAACATGTGAAACTTAAACTAACTCTTGCAACTAATAAATAGATAACAAATAAAAATGGATACACATGTGTGATGGTGTTTTCAAAATCACATTTCCATTTTCCAACTGTTCATCAAATCATAATCATGCTTGCTTAATTTTTTCATAGGAAATCGTCAATTTTAATTTCATGTCTACATCAAAATATTTTAAATCAATCCGTAAATTTCATCTGTTTAGGTGTGGAGCTAACCACTTCAACACTATCTACTAAATAAATTATTATCTGTATATTTATTTGACAGGACACACTACCTATATTCTTATTCATATTAGTACATTCTAAAACTAAAGTATTGAAAGTGGGATCCCAATTAACCACATTAATATTACTGTATACAAATATTATTATTTCAAATTACTCATGCAAAAGTTTTTCTCATTTTTTGTCCTTTCAATGGAAACTTCCAGACCACATTAATGTTCATGATAAAATTAGGCAGACAGTCAAATAATATTGAAAAAAAAAAAAAAATTAAACAAAAAAGCATTCCCAGGAGTTGTGGGTGCAGCAATTTAAAGTACTACTGTTGTACTTACTACTAGATCTAAAACATGTACTTACACAGATACAATGACCTTAGTGTTTCCAAACTCTGCGTAAGCAGACCCTGATGCAGAATTCACTGCCCCAGTCCTCAGAACTACAAGAACCACACAAAAGTGATTACCATTCAGTCTTACAATAACAGTATCGTGTCAACTGCAGATATCAAGCATTAATATTCGCATTCAGAGATCTATCATAATTCCATAAACGAAAAAAAGAAAGAACAATAACAAAAAAAAAGAGTACTCATGGATCCTATGAACTTATGCTTCAGGCTATGTTTGCTAAACCTAGCTGATAGCTTAGAAGTGAATTTTCGAGCTTATAGCTAGTAGTTTATGGCTGATGGCCGAAAAGCTAATTGATATGGTAAAAGTGTTGTAAAATTAGTTAATAAGTTGGTGAAATAAAAATTTCAACGGGCTTATTTGGAAAGCTACCCAAAGAAGCTTGTGAGATAAGCTCAAGCTTTTTAAAAAAGTTCATCCTATCAAACAAACTTATTTATTTGAATACAGGAAGCTTATGAGTTAAGTAAATAAGTTATAAGCTAGCTATGGTGCTTACCAAACACACTAGAGTGGCATACCATCAAGAACAACACTAGAACTTTACTACTAGGTACTATGTCCACCCTAGCTACAATCCCAAGCTCAATCAACTTAACTATTATCTAATAAGTAATATGAAAATGCCGTGGTTACCAATTTGATGAAGCAAAAGGTCAACTTGGGTGTTTGCATTAACCTAAATAAGGATGGGTAACATAAAACCAATATCCATGTTTTTTCTAACTTGGACTCGCAAGAACCACAGCAAGAGGATCTTGCAAACATTACATCAATGGCATCAGTTCTTAGTATGATAGTATCTCAATCATGAAACTGGACAGGAAGCTTCTCTAGCGAATGATAGTGGTAATTCCAAGTTAGTTGCCATAGGCTATACCATTTTTATGTTTTGGGGATTAACGTTGAACAGCAAAGTATTGATGGTTTTTATACAAAAAGTATTACAGACTTCTTAGGCAACAATATAGGGGATAACTTTCCACCCATTAAGGAAAGATAACCTGTTGCAGTTATTCACTTGATGTTCACAATTAGATCTATCACGTGGCAGCCATATCCCAACTGAACAAACCCATTAATTCGGTAGCACAAATTACATGAGACAGATCTGATGTCTGCAACTTTTTTACGCCCATATATATAATTATGTTCTCTTTGGCCAACTGTATCAAGCTTCTAACATCAGCATTCCCCTCCTAACCATTCCAAAGAAGTTGTTCTGATATATTGCATATGACGGTATTCACTGTAATAGTTTGGAAACTAAATTTCCAATAAGCAACATGATTATTTTTCCAACTTATACTTATATTCTACTTTACAGACTCCTAATTCATGATTCTTCTAGTGTTTTTCACCAACTTGCTCCAAACTAGAGAACAAGAATGAGAAAGACGAGCAAATGGCTCATAGCCAGCAGTGACAAAGATGAGCAAATGGCTCCCGAAGTTGCAACAGCAGCGTTTGTATCAGCTACTTTAATGAGGACAAAAGGTTATAAAAACAATTTCCAAAAACGTAAAGAGCAGGAAGAATTGCCAGCGGTAGTCCATATGAGTTAACAAAGTACAGCAACAAATTATTATGAATAATGAAGACGAAATATTTTCATAGCGAAGTTCCTCAAAGAAGGGTCTTAAAATGCAAATGGGACGCGCCGCTTCATAGTTTTGCTAAAGGATTCCAAATTAACGAATAAACAAAAGGAGGCACACGCAAGGAAAATAAGAAAAGAAAAGAAAAATGAAAACGAGAATACGTACAGGCAGGGCGGCACTGGTGGAGGCTGCGACCGTCAGGTCGGACCCAATCCGAGCCGGTGATTACGGGAGGCCTTTTCCTCCTGTGACCGGTCAGAGACGGCGAGTATGTTTCCGGCGTCGAAGTTGATTTTCCGGCCATCTAACCAAGTTCGACCAGAGCCGGCTGCGGGTGCGGAGTAAGACAGCAAGTGAGATGGAGGTTGCTGTGGACAAGCCAACAAGGGGCGCCTCAATTTTACAGAATCTTTTCCCTTCGTTTTGTAAGAAGAGTTGGAGGCGTGTTTCTATTTAAAATAACTCAATACATACAATATTTAAAATTTAATTCAAATTTTCAATATTATGAATATAACTATTACGAATATCGTGCAATGCACTGGTAAGAGATATTCATTAGTATTTATAAATTAAAAATACTTATTAAATAATATTTATACATTAAAAATATAGAATCAACATGTAATGTGTTGTAGCAAATTATTTTTATTTTACCGAGTACCGAATCGAAAGACTCGTTCCCCGGGTCTATCTCACGAGAAAGTTTAGTCGGATTATAATGCACGTATATTCAAGCACAAAAAGAAGAAACTAAATTCCTAAACATTCTAATTCAAAGATTGGGTTGGATTTTAATTATAAACTATGAAAATTCAAATTGAAATAGCAAAGCAACGACGAATAACAAGCAAGAATAAAGAAGCTAGGGAGTCAGGATATCTGTTTTGGTTCGAAATGGAATTATCAGGCAAGTGATCGTTCGGTTAAATGATTCAAATAACCTACTCGTTCAGAGATTCATCCTCAATAATTTTTCGTAACAAGATGACAGACATGAACAGAAAATTATCAAGTTGTTTAACTCATAGGCAATACAATTACGAACGAGCCTATTTCGATCAACTCCTCCTCTTTCGATTCTAAGAGTCGATTAAGCTAGACTAGAGGGTGGTTAATCGACTAGTCTATTAGGATTGAAAAGAACACACGAGAATAAATCATATTCAATTGTAAACCAATCGTAAATTAAAGTGTCACTCTTCAATAATAATCAACATTCATGCATGAAGATCAAGAACCCTAATTTCAAGTTAACTCGCATAAATTGAACGATTCAACAAGCACGATAATCACAATTGAATCCAAAGTATTATTCCCTATCCCTAGCAAATCGAATTTAGCTACTCATATAGAATTTAACAAAAATATTTACAACAATCCAAGCATTCATATCCATGGGTTAAATGAAAAGGAAAACTTACAATTGATAAAGAAATCGAATGTTGAATCCCAAGTACAAGCTTAATCCGAAAAATAGAGAAGAGATCAAGATGAAATCCAAGTGTAAGATTCAAGTTCTAGAGAGAAAAATTCAAGAAAAACGAGTTTAGGGATGAGCTTTTAGGTCTGGGCATGAGTCCCAATACAAAGTACTCGAAAAAACGAACAAAAACGACTTTTTAAAAATCTGGTCGCAACCTCCGCGGCCGCGGGGAGCTCTGAGGCCGCGAGATTTCAGCTGCAGAAGTCCGTGGCAGCTGGAATCCTCCATTGCTCGCGGTGAAGAAAACTGGCTGCATGCACGACTTTGTGCCTGTTTGTTGTCTTACTGTAGAATATATGGAAGGCCAGGAACAAATGGCTCTACAAGGGTGACTGGATCCATGAGAGGTCAATTGTTGAAGAGGCTAAGGCTGAATGGTTGGAGTGGCTTGACAAACCTGATGACTACCAGTGGAGGAAAATCAAAGGGAACCAAGTCCCACCTGTTCAACATGATAATTTTTTCAAGGAAGTAGGTAAGTCTTCATTGAATATCAGTGCTTCATTATCTGTTGATGGGGGAATTGTTGTGCTTTGTCTTGTTAAGATCAATGGATTGTACTAAGGCTCAGTGGGAGGTTATGCTAGAGGGAGTAACCAATGAAGAGGAGGCCCTGATTCTAGCTATGCTGTGGAGTCTGAGGAAGGCCAAGGAGCTGCAATACAACAATTTCATTTGCCTTGTTCAATCAGCAGAGTTGGTGGACATAATTGATAGAAACCTCTTCCTTCTAGAGTTGGATAGAGCTAGCCTTGTTGTTATATGATCTTTTAGCTGCTTGTAATACTACTGTTTTCTGTGTTTTTTAGTTCCTGTGTTTTCCTTATTTGGGCTTGATTGTCCTCTAAATGTTGGATTGAAATCTTTCACGTGCCTCTTGGACTGTCTGTTAGGCCCAAGTTAGTTGTAATCACTTAATTATCGGTGTACCGTGTACTCTTTATTTGAGTTTTATCTAAGTTTGTTGTTTGCCGTTGAAAAAAAAAAAAAGATCAAGACAGGAAGTTCACATGAAAAATGGGAACAAGCTACAAATACAATCCGCGACAGCAGACCCACCATGATCAAAATATGAGACACAGCTGACTGAGATATATGAAACAGTCTCAACCTTGAGAAAAAAATATTTACACAGAAACACACAAACACACACACACAAAAGGTTGAGCCATCCCAGATGCTATCCTCTTTAATTTAATTTCGAAATGAGATCAGACATAACAAAAATCCTCTCCTCACTACAATATCTTTCTTTCTTTCTTTCTTATGTGAGCACCTTCTTCAAAACACAAATGAGGGTCATGTCATGTGGGATCAACATTCGGTAAACAGAAGGACTCGAACCGTGGCTCTGTTAAATCCACAACCACCTCATCGTCTCGCAAGCGCCAACTTCGTGTTTTCGATGTTAAAAGCATGAGTTTCTCAACGTCATTGGAGTAATCATCCTCTGATCTTTTGTCTTTCATGGTTTCAAACATAATTTGCTTGATTTCCTCTCTGGATGACACCGCTTCACATGTTTCGAGCTTCGGCCTTTCCATGGTGCAGGTGGACGAATACTGACAGATTAAATATTGCAGAATTTAAAAATAGTAAGAGGTTTGAGCACACTCCTTAAAATACAAAGAATAATCATGCATGGTGGATCCCAAGTGATGAGGCATATTGGTTTACCTGAAATGCGGCTAGCGGCAAATTTTTCCTTTTAGATTTGTGTGGTGCAATAGTTGAAAGAATCTGGACAACCTCAGTCATGCTTGGTCGAGAATCGGGATCTAATAAGAGACACTCCTTTGCTAAGTAGGCCATTACCTGCATCTCTTCTTCTTGAAAAGCTCCCTTCAGTCGTGGGTCCGGTAACTCCATAATCACGCGTTTGCTGTCATGCAAACGAGGTGTTGCCTGCAATCATATTTAAAGATTAAACTTTATTTATTATATCAGCTTACAAAGAGGCACAAAAAACTCAAATTGCCTGTGTCTTTGTTAAGAAACCAGAGTAAACAACTCCTTTGTAATTCATTTTTAGTAGAGTGGAAGCATCTCGAATTTCTTGATAATCTTAGCGAATAAGGTATATAAAAATGTTTCGGAGTCATCTGGTCAATTACAAAAAAATTTGCTTCTGCTTTAGAATTCACGAAAGGCAAACACCAACTACAATAATGCTAGGGGTTTATATAACCTCATGGGCTTTATTGAAACATCATATTTCAGGTTTTAGTAATTACAAACCGTAACTTGGTTCTTTACAGTTGGCTAAATGTCGGGTGTACTTCTTTTTCTTAATTTAATATTTCATACCCAAATCACCAGGCTCTCTTCAGTTTTATTAGATGATTTGTAGATGGGCTTTCGGCCTGTGATGAGCTCAAGAAGGACAACCCCAAAACTGAAAACATCGGACTTTAGAGAAGCTTGACCAACAATTGCATATTCAGGTGCAAAGTAACCAAAGGTCCCTTGCATTCTAGCAGGTGAACTTGAACAACTGGCAAAATCGTCACTATGTAGGTGTTTAGCCATGCCGAGGTCAGTAATCTGTATACATTTAATTTAGATTTACAAAACAATGTAAAAACAAAAGAACATTACATATACTTCCCTTGAAGTTCAGTGATCTACTAATCTAAAAACAATAAACCTATCTTTGTTATCACAATTACAAGAACCCTCCTACACCTATGTTTCATTTTGCAAATAGTAGGGTTCACATTTTCATTTATTTAATTAATTATATATAAAAAAATTTCAAGTTTATATTTGTAATTTCAAATAATAGCTATTAGATAAATTTTATCCTTACTATTGGAAAAGAACAAAAAGAAAAACCTCAGCAAGAGTTTTTCTGATTAGCCATTGTTCTTCCAGAAGCTAATAAATGACATACTGATGAAATTTAAGAGTAAGTAAATGATGTACGAACTTCACTCATTTCGTCTTAATATATACATGTTTCATAGAAATGATTATCAACGAATACCCAAATCCTTCACTTTTTGACAATTCCACCTAAAAAAATTGCAGTCAAATACCCCCTTTTTTTTTCTTCTCATGAAATAGCCTATGACAATTTAATATTGTAACTTTCAATTTTTTTCCAACTTTTTTACTTTCTAATTAGATACCCATCTTTCATTTTCTTTTCGAAAATTAAAAATTGTTTCCAGAATTTCCGAATAAACTTTAAAAGTTAGACATCTCAAATGCAAATATTTAAAGGTAAAAAAACTAGAACTGCGCAAACGTAACAAGTTTAGGCATCTTTTAGTAACCTACTCCATTTGGTATAAGGCATTTTTTTTAACAATCAAGTAACCACACAATATTAATTCTTTTCCAGTTTCTCAATTTGACATATACGAGCCCCACACATTTTTCGTCATTTGGTCTAGATTATTACATACCTTGGCCCTCCATTTCTCATCCAAAAGAATGTTAGTGGACTTGACATCTCTGTGCAAGATTCGAGGGGCGGCAGCTTCATGTAGATACTCCAAGCCACGTGCAGCCCCAAGAGCTACCGAAACTCGAGTGCTCCATTCCAAACATTCGCCCAAACCCTCATCCAAACACTTCCTTAGATTACCATTCGGAATGTACTCAAACACCAGCAACCTTTCAGCAAGCTTCCCTTGATTTACAGAGCAGTATCCAAACAAAGGAACAACATGACAGTGATGGATTCTGGATATCAAATCGATCTGAAATGCGGATAAATGTTTTGTTGTAATAATTTATCAGAGGGTAGATTACAAATAACACCCTTTGTTTAGTTTGCTTACAAATTCGGTTAGTTATCTTTCAAATCTATGAATGCCACTGTCAATGTGTTTCCGTTGTATGAATTGCAAATACTCAAATATTCCTCAGAATAGGTGTGATTTTTTTATGAAAACATAAAGGTTATTTATAATTTGTATAATAAAAGTACAACCGA